ATCCCCATCTCCTATTTGTCACATCCCTTATCCTGCATCCCACATCCCGCATCCCACATGCCATATCCCACTACCTGCATCCCACATCCAGTATTCTGCATCCTTGCATCCTGCATCCCACCTCCTGTACCTGCTCTCCCATATCCTGCACCTCCTGCATCCCATATCCCACCTCCTGAACCCGACCCCCATCTCCTGCATCCCACATCCAAAGTCCTGTATCGGTTCATCCTGAATCCCACCTCCTGCGCCCCATCTCCTGCATCCCATATCCCTCATCCCACCTCCTACATCTCACCCCCTATCCTTCATCCCACTACCAGCATCCCACCTCCAATGTCCTGTATCCATGCATCCTGCATCCTATAATAACCCACCTCCTGCATCCCATATCCCACCTCCTGCATCCCACATCCTTCATCCCACCTCCTGCATCCCACAACCTTCATCCAACACCCTGCATCCCATATCCCACCTCCTGCATCCCACATCCTGCATCCTACATCCTTCATCCCATATCCCACCTCCTGCATCCCATACCCCACCTCCTGCATCCCACATCCTTCATGCCACCTCCTGCATCCCATATCCCACCTCCTGCATCCCACATCCTTCATCCCATATCCCACCTCCTGCATCCCACCCCCCTACCCTGCATCCCACCACCTGCACCCCAACATCTGATCTCCTGTATCCCTGTATCCCGCAGCGCCATCATCCCTGGGCGAGGCCGACCCACCCGAAATCGAGGGGTTTGGGATCCAAACCCAGCGGTGCTCCCGGTCACGGGGTGCGTGGGGGTTTCCCTGTCGGGAAGGACCTCAGCTCCCGCCGGATCGGGGAGAGATCGGGGCAACAGGGATGCGCCGGCTGAGGGGAGGCAGAGGGCTCTGCATTTCTCCCAGCCGCAGGGACGAGCCGTGCAAGAGCCAAAGCAAGCGAGCCCACGAGCAAATGAGCTCTGTTTTGCTGAGATGCTGTGCGTGTATATATATATATATATATATATATATATGCATTTTTATATCTATATGTTTTTATATATGGTGAGCGAGGCAGTGTTTGGCTCCCAGGGATGTCGAGGAAGCAGCCAGGCCCGGATCACGGGAGGGAGGGAACGCGGAAAAAAACAAACTTTGGCCGAGCCAGAATATCAAGATCCTCTTGAGCCAAAAAATATCAGCTCCAACCCGAGCCCGGGCACGGCTCACAGCGTCATCCCCGAGGACGGTTCGTCAGAGCCAGCACCGAGGGCTTTTGATTTGTCGGGGAGGATTTATTTTGCCGGGAATCTTAATGAATTTACGCTTTTCGAGTGAACGGAGCCCCAACTTCATGCGTGCCCAGCAGCCCACCCCGCTTTCCTAACCATGATTTAATATCCCCGGGCTGGAGTTATCACGTTACCAAGATGTCGGGATTTGTAGGGAACAGGCTGCAGCGGTTCGGCGGCAAACCTGCCGGGTAGGAGCATCAATAATTGAGGAGGAATGAGCGAGGGGGTTACTTTGGTGATGCCGCATTGATCGGCCCGTTGCAGGTTTTCTGCCTGTTTGCAGAAACCCGGTTATCCGCAACGATCCAGCTAATCGTTATTTGGGGGTGGCGGTGGGTTGGGGGGGGGGGGGGTGTTTGTAACCGGTTCCCGGCACCCACGTGTGCTCGGGACAAGGTGCTCCGGGGTGCTGCTGGTTTTGGGACGGTGCATCCCCCCAAAATCATCCTTTTTACCTGCTGGAAAAGGGGGTGTAAAAATCCATCAGCGGCGAATGCTGGAGGAGTTTTGGCTGTTTCCCAGCCCAGCCATGTCCACGGCGCCGCCGAGCGCAGGCCGAGGCGCGAGTAAAGCTTGAAAATGGTTTTTAAAAAGCTTCGGCGGGAGGTTTGTCCCCACACCCCCCGCCCCAAGAACCAGCCACCCCTCGGGGGCTGCTGCTTTCACCCCCCAAAAGGCTGCCGGAGCTGGGGGGCAGAAGGTGCCCAGGGTGGGTGGAGGGGCTGCAGAGCCTCACAGGAGGGAACATGAGGTGGCTTAAGGTGCCACAACCCGCCCCCCCAAAGAGCAGCAACTGCCTGGGGAAGGGGCCTCCAACCCCCTCAGAGATCAGGAGGAAGGGAAAAAAAAAAAAAAAAAGAAAAAAAAAAAAAAAAAAAAGAATAAAAAAAGGTTTAAGAAGAGGTCAAAGCGACCCCAAAAACCCACGCACCCTCCTGGAAGGCGCAGCTGGGGCACGCCACGAACATCCGCAGCCCTGCAGCACGCTACACGGGTGGCACATGCTGACATGTCACCCTGCCCCATAACACACCACCCCCCCCGCCCCAAAAATAGGTGCCAACATGCTCTGACACATGCCGCTTCCCCCCCCCCCCCCCCCCCAACACGGCACAAACCCCGGGTCCTGCCGCGAAGGTCACCATAACGTGGCCACCCCAAAAGATGCTGCAAAAGCAAGCAGGGAGCACCCAAACACCCCCTCCCCAGCCCAAAGAGGGGGGGGGGACACTCACCTCTCCAAGCCCCAACAAGGAGACAAGTCATAAACCAGCCCCAGTGGGACATAAACAGCTTCAGTTTTTATTATTTATTCACCAAACAGGAGCACGGCCGGATCCAGGATAGCCACCCCTAGGCAGAGCTGGGAGCAGGTTGGGGTGATGGGGATTGTTGGGGGGGGAGGGGGGGGGGCCCCCACTGCACCCCAACAAGGGTAGAAGGGTGTGGGCTGTGCCCCCAAATCTCCCCAGGGAGCTGCTGTGAAATGGGGGTCCCCCGCGGAGGATCCACGGGTGGCAGGAACGCCCCGTGCCCTGCTCTGGCTATTCCCCTTTTTAGGGGATTTCCAGGAGGTGCTGGAAAATAAAAAATAAATCAGTGGGGAACAACAACAACAACAAAAAAATAATCACAGCCCTGCTCCCCCCCAAGCTGCCCTTGGAGGATTGGGGATGAAGGGGAAGGCATAACACCACAATCACCAAGATAATCTGTTCCTGGAGCAGCAACACAGCGAGACCCAGGTTGTATCCCACCCCCCCAAAAAAAATTATAAATCAAAGAGGAGGGGGACAGAGGGGCCAAGTGGTGCTGGGCACCGAGGAACGGGGGAAAAATCAGGGAAAACCCACTGCCTTTGCTCTGGGGGGAGGAAAAACGCAGCATGGGGCAGGAGGTGATTGCAGCTACCCCACGAGCATCGCAGAGAATCGCGCTGGACCCCGGGGTGAGACACCCCCCCCCCCCCCCCCCCCCGCCAAAAAAAATCCCTGCACAGCCCCAAATCCAGCTCTACTGCACTCAGGAAAGGGGGCACCAGCCTCCAGGGACACTGGGGACATGCCCACGGGGAGCACAGATCACAGCAGGAGGAAATAGATTGGGGGGGGAACCAAGGTCCTCGGGATAATTTGGGGAACGCCCCGGCCCCAACCCCCCCCTTTTTTCCCCTCCCCAAACTCTCCTTGTTTAGTCCAGTGCAGGCAGCTGGAAGTGCCCTCCCCCCCCAAAAAAAAATGTGCCAAGGAAGGGGCTGTTGGGAGGAAAAGTTGTGGATTAACCCACGGGGGAGCTGTGATTCACCCACCACCCACCCCCCCCCCCCCCAAAAAAAAGCCAAACAAACAAAAAAAACACCAAAAAACAACAGGCAGAGGGGGCAATGTCCTGCGAGAGGCTGCGCAGGCAGCAGGACAGGGTATGTTTATTTAGAGCCGGGTTTGCAAAGCTTCCCCAGCCCTAAATAAAAACAGGAATAAGGGGTAAACCCCCCCTTTCTGCCCAGCCCTGGCGCATCAGGAATGGGGGGGGGTCCTCTCCGTGCACCCCAGCTCCCATCCCCAAAACCGAGCCTGATACCAAGCCGAGCTCAGGCTGCTCGAAAACCCTCTGGACACAAAAACCAAGACACCCACAAGCCCAAAGCGGCTGAAGAAAACGGGAGTGAGGTCGGGGGGGTGCAAGGGGAAGCAGAACCAGAGGGCCCCCGGGGCCACCTGCACCCCCAAAAAACCCGGGGAGAGCTGGTCTTAGGTGGGGGGGGGTTGCAAAAGCACAGCAGCAATTTATGGAGGGCGGCAGGAGAAAACACACTGCAGCCAGCGTGGCGGGGCAGCTCCCGGCTTGGGCAAAAATAATATAGATTAAAAAAAAAAAAAATATATATATATATATATATGTGTAAAATGCCCAGAAATATGTTGGACCAAGGGCTGTATTGCAAATTGCCCCACTGAGAGCCCGGCCGGGGAAAGCTGCGAGCCATGCTCAGGCTTCCCAGCAGCGTGGAACAAACACTGGGGGATCTACCTCCCTGCAAATGGTCCCCCAAAACCCCCCAAAATTTGCAAAAATACCAACCCTAAAGCTTTCCTTTAGGGAAGGTGGGTGTTTGGTTTGTTTTTCCCCCCCCACTCTTCCTCCCTTAATTAAGAAGTCAAAAGGAAGAAGCCAAAAGGGGAAAGAAAAATTATTTATTACCGTTTAAAATCAAGCCAGCAGCTCACTGGGATGGTGTTGGAGAAGCTGGGACCAAACTGGATCCGGGCTGGGGAGGGGGGAAAAGGTGACTTTTTAGCAGCCACGGGGACGAAGGTCTCCACGGCGCCTTGGGACCCTCCGGCCGGGGAAAAAAACAAACACATAAAAAAAAAAAAAAGAAAAAAAAAAACACAACCACAAAAAAAACCCACAACACAATACCCAGCTGGAAAAAAGTAAAAATAATAATTAAAAAAAAAGGCAGGAAAAGTGAAAAGTCAGAGTTCAGTGGGGCTGAGTTGATGGTGGTCCCTGGCTCGCAAGTGATGGTCACCACTGGATTTATCCCGAGCCCCCCCCGAGCCCCCCCACGCCGCGACCCCTCGCCTGGCGGGAGCTCGGGGAAGGTTTCGCATCCGTCCCGGGACTCAAAGGGAAGAAGCAGCAAACCCCCCAAACGAAACGGCGATTCTGTGGGACCCCCCCCCCAACCCCCCCAGTTGAGAGAAAACCCGACCCAGGCTCTAGTTGAATATAAGTTTTTATCTTGATGCAACATCGTTAAAACCGTCACAAATCGAAACAACAGGTCGTTAAAAACGCTTCGCACGATCAGTACCTAAAATGCACCAGGCTCCCGAGCTCGCTTTATCCGCAAGACCCTTGTGTTTCCCCCATGATTTTTTTTTTCTTTTTATGGTTTTTCTTTTTTAAATAAGCAACTTGTTAAAAAAACAAAACAAAACAAAACAAACCCGCTCCTCCACGCAGGATCAGCCCCACTTTTGCTCCAAGCACAATTGCACGATTTCTTATTATTTTTTTTACTTTTTTTTTTTTTTTTTGCGCAAGAAATAATGTGCATTTTCTTTCCTTCTTTCGACATCGAGGTTAAAATAATATTCCGTTTCCCGAGGGTTAATAAATAAATCTGGTGCATAGTGAGATAGCAGCCAACCGTTTGCAGTCCATATATTACTATATTGCCTTTCAGGTCACCCTAGAATTGTTACCTCTCCCCCCCACTATTTTTAAGAGCATAGATAATTTTAAATCTCTATAAAACAGTATTATTTAACCCAATTGATTCCTGTATATAGTGCATTCGGCTTCTTCCCAACATCGTTAAATTAACTCGGATATTATTTGCATGCTATTACATACAAACTTTTAAGACTCGTGTATTTTTTTTTCTTTTCTAAAGGATTTTGGTTGTTTTTTTGTTGTTTTTTTGTCTTTTTTTTTTTTTTTTCGTAAATCACCAAGCAAAATATAGGCTCAAGGGAAAAAAAAAAAAAAAAAAAGGCAGAAAACTAACTAATTTCTACATATTTACAAGGGTGAATAAGTTAAATGTGGCTCAGGTTTGCCGGCCGGGAGGGGTTGCGGGCGGCGGGGCCGGGCAGGGCGCAGCGCTGCCGGGGCCCCCCCCGGATGATCCGTGGAGACCCCTTGGAAAAAAAAAAAAATAATAATAATAAAATCGGGGGAAAAACACGCAGGATAAGAGGTGGGGGGGGGGGGGGGGAAGCCACCTGGATGGCGCTGATGCTCTGGGAGGGGAGGGGGGCTGCGCGCCGTACACGTCCCGCATGCAGGCTGGCTCCAGGTGTCCGTGTGTCCCCCCCCCAGTACCCCGGGACCCCCCACTCCGAGTCCCGATGGATTTGAGGAGGGGAGGGGGGATGGTGAGGGTTCAACTTCCCTCCTCCCCAAAAATTTCAGTGGTGGGGGGGGGGGGAAAAAAATATTATTATTATTATTTTTTTTTTTATATACAAGCCGAGGATTTGCTCTCTCTACGTGGAGGGGTGGGGAGAGGAAAAAGGGGAACCCCTCCACCACCAACCCCCCCCCCCCCCCCCCAAATCCCTCCCTGGGTTTACGGCTCACATGAAGAAGTCGGCGGCGGGTTTGGGGGCGGCGGATGGGGAGGGCTCCCTTGGGAAACCCCGGCCGGCTAACTTTTCGTATTTTTCTTTGTACAGATCCCTTTCCTTGGCCAAGCGGGTCACCTCCTGCTTGAGCTGCTCCACCTGGCTCTGGAGTTGACATTTCTCGTTCTCCAAGATGTGCCGTTGCTGGACCCGCTTGTAACGGCAGGATTGAGCGTAGCCCCGGTTCTTCAAGGTCCTCCTCTTCTGCTTGAGGCGGATCACCTCCTCCTTGCTGAAGCCCCTCAGCTGCCGGTTCAGCTCCCGTACCGACATACTCACCAACTGATCGTCGGAGAAGCGGTCCTCCAAGCGCAGGTGGTGATGGTGATGATGGTGATGGCCGGGATGGTGATGGGCGGCCGGCGGGAGCTCCTCACCACCGAAAGGTTGAGGTCGGAAAGGCTCGTAACCTTGATGGTGATGGTGATGATGGTGAGGGGCACCGATCAACGCTTCCACCGCGTCCTCCGGCGTCAGGTTGAGAGCTTCGGGATTGAGGTGATGCTGGTAACCCGACATCCAGTACAGCTCCTCCAGCTGCGGTTTGGAGCCCAGCGAGGCGGCGGTGGTAGTTGGGGGGCCGGGGGCCGGTTGCCCACCGGGACTCGGGGCGCAGAAACTGGGCGAGGAAGGCACGGAGGAGCAGGGCGTGCTGAGCGGGGTGGAGGAGAGGGAACCGGCGGGCAACCGGTGGCACAGCCTCTCCGCTTCCGCCGGTTCCTTCTTCACCTCGAACTTCATCAGGTCGAAATCGTTCACGTACTCGATGGCGAGGGGGCTGGTGGGCAGCTCCGCGCTCATGGCCAGCTCCGAGGCCATCTCAGTCCATGGAGGGACCGGGGGGCGATCCCCCGGGCACCGCCGCTCACCGAGGGCTGGGGGGGGGGTGGTCCCCGACGGGGCTCCGGGAGCTTCCGACGGGGCTTCGTCCGCGCTGCAACCGGTTGCCCCCGACGGGGCTTCGCTCCCGGGGGTCAGCCGGGCTCCGGGAGCCTCCGACGGGGCTTCGCTCCCGGGGGTCAGCCGGGCTCCGGGAGCCTCCGACGGGGCTTCGCTCCCGGGGGTCAGCCGGGCTCCGGGAGCCTCCGACGGGGCTTCGCTCCCGGGGGTCAGCCGGGCTCCGGGAGCCTCCGACGGGGCTTCGCTCTCCGGTTCAGCCGGGCTCCGGGAGCCTCCGACGGGGCTTCGCTCTCCGGTTCAGCCGGGCTCCGGGAGCCTCCGACGGGGCTTCGCTCTCCGGTTCAGCCGGGCTCCGGGAGCCTCCGACGGGGCTTCGCTCTCCGGTTCAGCCGGGCTCCGGGAGCCTCCGACGGGGCTTCGCTCTCGGGGTTCAACCAGGCTCCGGGAGCCTCCGACGGGGCTTCGCTCCCGGGGTTCAGCCGGGCTCCGGGAGCCTCCGACGGGGCTTCGCTCTCCGGTTCAGCCGGGCTCCGGGAGCCTCCGACGGGGCTTCGCTCCCGGGGTTCAGCCGGGCTCCGGTAGCCTCCGACGGGGCTTCGCTCTCCGGTTCAGCCGGGCTCCGGGAGCCTCCGACGGGGCTCCGCAGCGGGCTCCGGGGCCGGTCGTTCTCCCCACGCCGCCAGCGGGAAGCGGAGCCCCGTGGGTGCGGGACCGGGCGCTCTCCAGCCCGGCTCGGTGAGACGCGGAGTGGGGCGGGGAGGGGTTGTTGGAGGAGGTGGGGGGGGGGGGGGGGGGAAGGAAAAGAAGCTCCGCCGCTGCCCGCGGCCGGTTCCCCAATGGCGAGGAGCAGGCAGCGCCCTGCCCGCCCCTTCCTGCCCGCCCTGGCACCTGCCCCAGCCCCACCTCCCCGGGCTGCGAGCCTTCTCCTGCCCTCCTCTTCCTCCTCCCCTCGGACACAGCGCCCTGGGGACCGCGGGGGGGGGGGGGGGGGGGGATCCCGCACCCCCAGCCCGTGCTCGGCGCTGCCGCTGCCGGGCGGCTGAATGGAGCCCGGCGCTTTATATACGGGGGAAACGCGGCCCGGCCACGCCTTTTAAGGCGGGTTCAGTCCCTTTCCGCCTATCAGAGAAACATTTTCCCGTCTCGATTTGCATATCCCCATGGCAACGCCCCGGGGCGGCTGTCAATCTTCGGCGGGGAGAGGGTTCGGCAGCCCCTTTGGGGGGGGTGGAGTGGGGGGGTGTGTGTTGTCCCCCATGTGCCTTCACCCCCGCAGCTCCCACCAGCCACCCCGGCCCCAAGCCGGGCTGAGGAAAGAGTGAGGAAAAATCGACCAAAAAAAAAAAAAAAAAACCAAACCCAAACAGAAAAACTCTTAATTTTCTCCCAAAGAAACGGGAAAGAGCCAAAACGGGGATTATTGAGCCCAAATCGGCTGAGACCCCCCACGGCTTCCCACTCCCCTGAGGATGCCAAGCAAGACTTTTGGGGGTGCAGCCCCTTCCCCACCTCGCTTTTCCCAGGCGGGAGCAGCCCAACATCCTTCCCAGGGCACGGCGAGCGCCCACCACCCTTGCAGAAAGAAAAATATATATGTGTGTTTTGGGGGACTTTGGTTTGTTTTTGTTTTTGGTTTTTTTTTTGGGGGGGGGGGGATGTTCCCACAAGCCTCCACCGGGCCTGGATGGGTTTCGCCGCTGCTTTTTTTTGGCTTCGTGCGACAAGGAGGTGACATCCCCCCCGCCTGGCACGTGGCGGGGAGCGTCCCCAGCTCGAGGACGAGGTCCTGGGGTGTGGAAAAGAAACGCGGGGGGGTGTGGGGGGGTGCTCAGCCCGGCGCAGGATGAAGCCCTTGGTCTGGATGCGGCCGCGCTGGCTCCGAGCCCTGCCACCTCGTGGTTGCTGCAGCTGCAGCACAAGAGGGAGGAGGATTTTTGGGGTGCTCGGGCCGGATTTGGGATTAACACCGGCGCGAGTGTTGGAAGGGAGGGAGACGGGACACACAGGACAGGGACAGGGACAGAGCTCGGGGGGGTCAGGGGTAGCGTGGGGACACACACAGAGGTGGGGGGTGGCGCACAACAGCACCCTGGTACAGCTGTTCCCCACGCCAAGGTGGGAAACTGAGGCACGGGGCAGTCGCCGTCGAGTTGTCCCATGGAACCTCGAGGGATGACCGGCTTCACCCCCCCCCCCCCCCCCCCCCGGGGCTGTCGGATCCCATCCACCATGTAGCAACCCCCCCCCCTCGTGTTCCATTACATCCCAGTCCGGCTGCATCTTGGCCAAATGGGATGGGGGGGCGTGGGGTGGTGAGGGGTGAAGGGGGGGGGTGAGGGGTGAAGGGGGGGGGGTGACAGTCCCCTCACCCACCTGATGGCCAACCCCTCTTGGGGGACGCCTGCCCTCCACAGGTGCTAACCCGCTGTTCAAAACCTGAGATTAATCAGGAGAAATTAATGCAAAAATGCTTTGAAGGGGGGGGGGGGACACAACCCCCCATCCCGCTGCATCCCCAGCAATTAAAACCCCACATCGTTTCTTTTGCTGGCTCTGGAGGACTTGAGGTGCTTGTTGTCCCCCTTTTTCCGTCCTTCTCAAGGTAAAACTGAGACTGGGCAGATGGGGGGGGTTGTGTGTGTGTGTGTCCCCCCCCTCAGGGAGGGTCACGGATGCAGGCAAAGCCCCACGTGTGTCCCCCGGGATCCCGGTGATGCTGGAAATTATCCCACATTGGATAACCTGGGACACGCATATCCCATATTAGAGACCCCAAACTTGGGCAGGCGATAATGGGGACACCCCCCACCCCCCCCCACGCTGCAACCTGAGGGAGGGGGACAAAAAAAAAAGGCTAAACCGGGCATCTTGATGCTTTTGCGAGAAAACCCTTTTACACCGGGTGTTTTTAACCCTTATTTGCGTAACCGCGGTGACCCCCGAGTGTGGGGGAATCAGCGGGATGTTGGGGGGGCCCGCCCTGGGAACCACCTCCCCGCCCCCAGTTCCGAGCTGTTCGCACCTTGGGGGGGGGGGTGGGTGGGTGGAAACCCGGCCCCCCCCCTCAGCAGCTGCCACCCACGATGGGACAGGAGCCACGGAGGGATTAGGAGCGGGCTGGGCTCCAACGGGGCTGTCGCTCCCCTGAGACAACACCCCCCCACCCCCCCCCCACCCCCCACCCCCCAAATTTGTGGTATTTTTAGCGGGGTGGCTGGGGGAGCGCGGCCGGGCCCCGTGGCATGTCCCCAGCCCTCCCCGCCACACCGAACCGGTCATCTAAGTTTACTCGCAGGCGGGTCGGGTGACATAACCAGGTTGGTGGCCGCGGGATGGCAGCGGGATGGCGTCACTTTTTTGTTTTTAGAGCTCCTGCGCCCCACCTTTAACCCTTGGAGCGGGGCCGGGCGCTGCCTCAGTTTCCCCGGTTGGTCGATACCGACGTCCAGCGCCCAGGCTGGCGGGTGCTTGGTGGCTTCGGGGAGCCCCTCGTGAAAAACGTCACCCCCGCGCCGCGGCCCCCTCCGGCAACCGGTGGGTCCCAGCTTGGTGACGTCCCGCCAGCAGCCGCCGCACGAAGCCGGGATGATTTGAGGAGGGGCGGGGGGGGGGAAAAAAAAAAAAAAAAAAAAAAAAAAAGAAAAAAAATCACGCAAAGAGGGTGCTGGGACCACTTAGGGGCACCGAGGAGGAGGAGGGCAGGGGACAGCCACCACCTTGGTGACAGAAAAATGTTGCTAGCCCGGCAGGCGACCAAGAGCTGTGCCAGCAGCACCCACGGCAGAGGATTTTCCAGGAAATGTTGACGCTGCCATCCAGAAATGCCATCCCCCCCCCCCCCCCCCCCCCCCCGCCACCCAAGGCACGTCCTTGCTGGGGCCGCGGGCCAGCCCAGCCACGCACCCACCGCCCCCCCCCCAGCATCCCCAGTTTCACTGGGAGGTTGGATCAAACCCCCCCCCCGCCCCCCGCAGAGGGGCCCATCACCGAGGCGTCGTGGCTGTTGGCAGCAGCACCGAGGTTGGCGTTCGGGGGGGGGGGAACCCACCGGGGGCTCGGCGACACCTCTCCAGGGGCCGCGTTTATCCCTGCTCAGAAATTAATCACCCCCAAGCAGCGCTTTAACGACAGCCGGCAATAAATTACAATCCATCCCCGGGAAGGGAGCAGCGGTGCCGGTGGGCGGTGGAGCCGCGGGTCTGGGCGAGCTGCTCGTTGCCTCGTTTAATTAGCGCAGCGCGGAGCCTTAAACCCCGTTAGCTCGCTAATTAGGGCCCCGCGGCCACGGGAAGCGCGGAAACTCCCGGCCACCATCACCCCGCACGAGGACTCGCAGCATCGTCATCACCTCCAAGGTGATTTTTAGTGATTTTTTTTTTTAAGGAAACCACCATGCGAAGAAACATCCTTTCTGGGTAAAGAGGAGAGGAGGGGGGAAAAGTTTTAATAATTCGAGACTCGAAAAGATTTGGGGAGCAGAGCGGCCCGTCAGCTGGCTCCTCGAGGGAATGTCCGTGCTGAAAAAAAAAAACAGCAAAGCCACGCTCTGACCGGGCATCCCGGGGGGAGAAATGCTTTATTTACATATCAAAACGTACAGGTTAATAAAAGACATTTAATATCAAGGGAGACGGCGAAGTTTTTATTAAAAAAAAACAGCTCGCTGGCCACACACTGGGATCTGAGGGGTAGCGGTGGGGTGGGACCTCGCGATGGTTGGGGGGGGGGGGGGGGGGGGGGATACTGGGGACACAGCCGCCCCCCCCAACTGGTGCCCCCCGACCCCTCGGGGACAAGAGGGGACAAGACCCCTCTGTGGGGGGGGGGGGGCGGGAGGAGAGTCACCTGGCTTTGCTCCTGTTTGGATTTGGAGTGACACCCCCGCCTCCCCCAACCTCTAAAAACCCCCCGAAGAATTGATTTGGGTCCCGTCCCCCCCCCCCAAAAAAAGGAGGGAGCAAGAGGGGAGAGGTGGGGGGTTCAGGGCGCAACGGGCCACGCCGGTGTGCCGCAGGAGCGTTTGGTGGGAGCTCAAAGCTGCTCCCAACCGCCGTTTCCACTCTCTGCACGTGGCTCCACTCTGAGAAATCCTCCCCAAACCAAGGGGATGGAGCTGGGGGGGGGGGGATGCAGGTGGCCTCTTGGCCCCGGGGCGACGGGGGCTGAGGCACGCTTTCCACCCCCCGACACGGTGCCTTGCCCCCAATATAGCGGCTGACTTGGCTGCGAGCACGTCGGGCGACGGCATGAAGCTCCTCAAGGGTCCCCGTGTCACCTCGTGTCCAGGACAGCAGAGCGGCGATGCGCGGGAGGATTGATGGGGATGGGACCCCCCCCCACCCCCCCCACCCCAACCCCCCAGCCCCACCACGAGCCGGGCGGCCGGGCTTGCCTTCGATAAACTGGCTGAAAAGAGAATTCATCGGCCAGTTAAAATATTTCAAACGAAGCTGCTTCCCTGCAGGAACAGGGGGGGCGCGTTTCCCCCACCCGGCTTCCTTGCCAAAATGATGTTCTGGAAAAGCAAGATGAGGAGCTGGGGTGGGGGGTGGGGGGGGGGCGGGTGGAGGCGGGGGGGACCACGTTTGGCCACGGGGGCCGCGTTTGGCCGCGGCGTCCTGAGGTAGGGGCCAGGTCGCGCCCGGCTCTGCGGTTCCTGAGCTGGTCGGCTGTCACGGATTGGGGGTCTCGCTCACAGCCGGGGTTTGATTTGCAGCTTTTTTCCTGGAGGGAGGAAAAGAAAAAGCGACGGCGGCGGGAGGTGGGCGACTCACACCTGGACAACCCCCCCCCCCCCCCCCCGGGGGCTTCTGCTCGCCCGGCTGCGGTGGGTTAACGCACCGGAGACGGACACGGGCACCGGGGGTGGGCCCCCCCGCGCCCTGGCAGCGCCCACCGCCCTCACCTCTGCCACCCTCCTCCAGGCGGGTGTTTTCGGAGTCCCGCGAGGACGCCGGCAGCAAATTCCTCTTCCATTTGGGGCCGCCTGGGAGCGGAGAGGAAGAAAAGTGGCGAAAAGTCATCGAGGTTGGCTCGGGGCGCTTGGGAAAACCCGCAGGGCGCAAGCGCAGGAGCACCCTGACCTCCGCCTGCACCCGCGGCCCCGGCCCTTTGTGCTTCAAGGGTGGGAAAAAGGAATAAAAGCGGCCCCAGAGGGCACGGTGCTGGAGATGAGAAGGGTTAATTAGTGAGCAAACGCGAGAAAAAATAAACGAGCCCACCTAATTAGAAGCCGGGCCTTCCGCCCTGAAGCCCGCGGGGATGGTTGTGGCTCCCCCAGTGCCCTGCCAGCTCGCCGGTGGGGACACACGTGTCCCCAACGTGGTGCTTAGCCTGGTTTTGCTGCCCCCGTGGCTCTTTCCGCAGGCTTTTGGGGGAGAGTTGGTCCCTTTTGGGGTGTGGACGTGTCTCCCCGCGAGCCCGGAGCTGATTGTCCCCGCCTCGGCTCTGGCTGGATGGTTCCTCGAATCCCTGAGCACCCTCAGCGCCCCGCGAGGCGCTCACAGGTCCCTTCCCACCGCAGAGCAGCGAGTCTCCTGCAAAATCCCTGAGTTAAGGGTGTAAAAAGGGAAACAAAAAGTCGCCAAACCTTCAAATTGCAGCAGGTGGTGAGCATCACGACCTGCCCTGGGGCCGAGTTGGAGCAGGGATGAGCGGAGCACCGGCAAGCGAGAGGTTAACTCATCCTCAATGCTCTGGCCATGCCTGATGGCCATCCAACCACCCCCGAGATGCTCCGGGCGATGAGTTCTGCTTGCTGGAACACCGTGTCTGCCCCAAAACGAGGGTCCCAGGCACTTGTACAAAGCTGAGACGCCGCGAAGCGCCTCCGGGAGTTGACGTCTTTGCGGGACGAGCCCGGGCACATCCCAGGGTCCAGGATGGACGTCGTGAAGCCCTCCTCCATTTCACCCGCGACGCCGGTGTCTTGGGGTTGAGTGAGTGGTGGGGTTTTTTGTTGGGTGGCAGGGGAGGGGGGCTGCAGGGACAACCCCCTGTGAGAAGCTTCTCGGAGCTCCCCCAGCTCCACGTCAGCTCCACTTGTGTTTGGGAAATTGAGCCAATCGGCTGCGCCTCTGTGATAACGTATTTAAGAAGGGACGTGGTGACGGGCAGGGGGACTGGTGAGGAGGAGTTGCTGCAGCTGTGTGAACACCAAGGTCAGTGGAGGAACAGAGGAAGAAAGGAGGGGGGAGGTGTGCCGGAGCAGAGACCCCGCTGTATCCTGTGGGGAGATGGCAGGGTGGCCCCCCTGCTGCCGCCCATGGAGATCTATGGTTGAGCAGACACCGATTTATGGTCTGTGGCTTCCGCCTGGATGATCAAGGTGCTATGACTGAAGAAGGCCGGGGTCTTGTGGGAAAAAGTAGCCCCCGCTGCCGCAACTCAGTGCTGGGAGGATTGCAGCATGTGGGGGTGTCCCACGCCGGAGCAGCTCGGGAAGGGCTGCAGCCCGTGGGAGAGAGAGACTCCTGCGGAGGACTGTCTGCTGGGAGAGGGGGACCACGCTGCAGCAGGGGGAACAAATTCCAGAAAGCTCCCCCCCCCTCCGAAGATGGAAGAAGCAGCAGCACTGCCTGCACCCCCCATTCCCTGCCCCTGCACCACTGGGGGAGGAGGTAGAGATATCGGGAGCAGAGCTGAGCCCGGGAAGAAGGGAGGGGTGGGGGGGAAGGTGTTCTCAAGACGTGGCCATGCTTCTCACTGCCCTACTCTGCTACGTGTTGTTAGTGTCTGTAATAAATGTGTGGTTTCTGTCCTTCCCCTAACGAGTCTGCCTTTTGCTCGTGACCACCTGTGGTGGTTGGCCGCTAACCCGGATTGTGAGAAACATCGGTGTGATTCGTGTCAGGATGGAATACGGTGTGATAAGTGTAATTGTTGTATTCTGTGCGGATCTGAACCGAATTGGGATGGCTATTAACCTATATAATAACTGCGATGAACGTTGGAATCAAATCGAGAACGGGTGGGAATATAAAATGTGCCTTTTGCTTGGGGCAATGTAACCACCGCCCTAAAACCCGCCGCCCCCCCCCCCCAACTCAGAGCTGATGCAACAGCTGCTTAGAAAAAGCCCCCCGAAAGCTGAGACCCCGAGACTTTCGAAGGATCCAATAAGAGGAAAGCGCGCCGAGAGGTGGACACCTTCAGACTTTCAAAGGATCCAACGGGAGGAGGACGCGACTCCAACAATTCAAGTAACCCGACAGAAGAGGAGCAGGACGACTATCTGATGGGAAGAGATTGGTCGAGATGCTTGTGAAAGAGTGAAAAAGACCCCGCTTTTAGAACTCGTGCGTGCGTTGCGGGCAGAGTTGCGGCTCTCCGCGCACCCAGCGCTGCTTTGCCTATTGCTTCTCACCCTGAATTCATTAAACCCTAAGAAAACGATCCGCTTTTTTCATAAAGGTTGGCTTCGATCATTTATGTCAGGATCAAACCACTACAGCCCGACGCACCTTTCCGTGGTTTCTCCTCTTTTCCCCAACCCTGAAGGATGCGGAGAGGGGGTTCTGGGGTTTTTACCTACCAGACTAATGCGTGGGCAGGAGAGCGGCGGCCACTTGGCCAAGAAGACATCGACAGGAACGCGGACGGGAAAAGGAGGAGGTTTCCCAGAATAAAGGACCCACAGCTTGTCGAGCGATGAGGTTCAACGGGAAAAGTCCCCTCTTACTCGGGATTACAGGAGGTGGGAGATGTTCAGGAAGAAGGTGGGAGGGAATCCAGCCCCAAGCCCCTCCGGGCGCACATGTTCCGCGCGAGCTGAACCCAACGTGCTCAGGTTCCTGCAAAAACCCGGCCGCCGGCTCCCAAACGCCCGCCGCCCAGCGCGGAGCCGGGACCACGGGCACCTTCGTGCAGCCCCGAAAGCCCGAAGGAGAAGGTTTTGGGGCAGGGGAGGCAGGAGGGGTGAGGACCCCAAGCAGCACCCGACGCCGGGGAGTCACCGAGAGTTTGTCTTTGCTTTTAAACTTGGCGTAAACAAACTTGCGCGGCGTCTACGCCGTCGTGGCAGTGATACATAGCTTTTGAGCTAATTTATGTAAAATAAAGAGGGCTCATTTAGCACCTTTCCACCCTTAATATAACACCCATATATCAGAGGGCTGCACGGCAGCCACGATGGACTCGGCTATTAGTCACCGGCGACGCAGCCGAATCCGGCTCTGGGGAATGGCAACACCGAGCAGACGCCCATCGCACCGCGCTCGGCCTCTGACCACCCTCCGAATTTTCCAGCTGGCCCCACGTATCCCTTTTGCATCGAGCCAGATGTTTGTTTGGTTGTTTTTTTTTTTTTTCCCAGCCTGGAATTTCCAAATCCTGCCCCGGAGTTGCTGTAATTCGGGTCCAGCAGAGCTGCTGCCCATCAAGCCCAAGGGGTCAAAATCAGCATCTCCTCGTTCCTGCCCCACCGGCAACCGCGGCCCCGATCCAACGGGGACGGTGAAAACGCCTCAATTCCCCCCAGATGAGCTGGGGAAAATCTCATGAGCTAATATCCACGCAGTGGCACGAACCCCGTGCTTTGCAATTCAAAGCAAATATGATTACAGAAGTAGAAATATAGATTTCTTTCTTTTGGGGAGAGAAAAAAAACCCAAGGTGATATTTAAATCGACCGTAATTAGCTTCCCGACTTCGGGACAGGGTTGCGTGGGGCCAAGATGCTTTCAGAGCGTCCCTGCCTTATTTCAAGCATATTCCTCCAAAAACTGAGGAGGGGAATAATGAAAGAAGCCGGAAATAGGTTGTAAAAGGACTAAACGAGTCCAGTTTCTCACCCCGGACGGAGGAGGTGCTGCTTCTGGAAAGGATGGAGCAATGGGTGCGGCAAGCACCGCATCGCAAAACGCCCCCCCCCCCCCCCCCCCCCCGCAGTGAAAGCTGGGTGGGGCCGTGGGGGGGGACCTGGAAAAAACAGGGGTGTCACTTAACCCACTCCAGCAAACGAAAATATATTTTCCGCTTTTGTGCATGGGAGATCCTGCAAATGGCGTGATCAATCTTGGGCCGCATCTCGCGCGCCTTCACTCTCTCCAACCCCCTCCCCCCCCCCGCCCCTTTCTCCTCTGCATTTCGGCAGCTGCACAATCCATCTTCCAGGAACCAGGTATATAATTTCTAGTTAGCGAAAGCCGGGCTCAGAAACCCCTTTTTCATTACGATGATTGAACTGCTTCCAAAGAGAAGAACCGGGGCTGGATCACGAGCTCTCCGACGAAAGCCGGGCGGCTTTTGCTGAGCTTGTCAGCCTCGCTGGAGAATGAGGACTTCCAGCGCTCTTCCTCCTGATGAAAATCAACATTTATTTTGCCTAAGCCTAAGAAGGTGTCAGGCAGACAAGAGAAACTTGCCGCTCTTCACGAGGAGAAGGAAAGGAAAAGAAGGAAATCTAATAGAAATATATTATCAAGTCCGAGGAGTGGACAGTGCAGTAAATCACGCTTCAGGTGGCACCATTATATTTTTCAATAAAACCTGGCCTTCCCCCAGACGCTGCCGAGCCGAGCGGCTCCAGCTGCACCCGACGGGCAAGTGAAAACAAAATTTGTTTCATCCAGATGCTGATACACGGGGATTTAAAGGTGGGGAATCCCCTCGGCTGGCGGGGGGGATAAAAGGAGGTGGGTCTGGTCCTTCTCCCCAAATCATCTCCCTGCCCACCGCTCCTGACAGGTTTAAAAAACGGCTTTTCTTCCCCCGCTGGGAGGCAGCTGGGGAGAGGGAAAGTGGCTGGAGACGCCCCACGTCACCGGGGGAAGATGCTCGAGCCCCGAAGCCAAAGGGATGCCGGGGCAGTCGGCTCGCTTGCAGCTTTCCCAACTCCACCATCCAGCTGTAAAAAGCGTTTCCGGAGGGAATTCCGCTTATATTGATGATTTCCCTTCCCGACCAACCTCCAGCCCGATGGGATGTTTGGTCTCCGTCGCTCTCCCGATGCTGCCAAGGGGTTTCGTCCTCTCCTGCCTCCAACCA